GCTACAATTAGGAGAGAGAGAGAGAGTTTGGCTGCTGAAATTCTCCGCTACATGTATAAGTATAGGTGTAAATGCATCGGTATATATAATTGGCGTTGTTTAAATTAATCGGCCGCTGAGGTCGTGTGCGAGGGTGTTTCGGGTTTTTTTTTTATACGAATCGACACGTTCGTGGGCCCGTGTTTGCTAGCAGCGCCGAGGTAGAAACTCTCGAAACAACAAAGTCAGCCGGTGAAAGTTAATTAACGGCGGAATATTGAGATAACGGGGTGTAGGTATACAATCACTCTCGACGTAAATCAACCGGGAGAAGCGAATAAATATTTCTCGCGCGCCTTCGAACCGCGCCTTTGGCTCGACCATCGAAAAAAGGAGCTTCCGAGAAGCCGAAGCGCGACTAGACGCAAAAACTTGCATGTGTGCGACCTTTCGAGCGTGTTTGGGTTAATTTCCAATGATGCAGGTCCTTCGATCCTCTGTGGGCGCTGTGCGCTCAAAAAGGCTCAAGAGACCATAATATCCATTTGTCTGCCTCCCGTGTACGCACATAGTACAGGTATAGGTACACCGGCGATGCTTGTTTAGCCCCGCGCACACGTAAACGCTTTCCCTTAATTCGAGGAGGGATCCCCCGAGCGTGCCTGAGGTGGTGGTATTATAAGGCCCTCGGGTAGTAAGGCATTAAGTCTCTGCTGTATGCAGTGCACACGCACGCGTAGCTGTATAGGTATAGCCGCGTGGGAGGAGGAACACGTGAGTGCTCGGGGAACGGGTGGGTATAACCTGTTTATATATATATGTTCCGTGTACGCGCGTTATACTGCTATGTATTCATTGCTGGGAAAGTTTAACAACGAAAATTGTCTGATTTTTTAATTGTAGTTTCACGAGGGGGGAAAGGGAAACAAAAAAAAAAAAAAAAAAAAAGATGCGATCTTTTACACTGGAGAACTCGAATGAAAGAGGGTAGTGCAAAGTTGAGTGTGCGTCGGGGAATCATATAGCCCTACGGAGGCGAAGGAAAAAATAAATAAGAAAGGGTTCGGGGGAGTTGAAGGAAAAAGGGTTGAAAAAAAAAAAGAAAGAAAGGGACGATACAAGGGGGTGGGGGACAGGCGATTACTTACGATCAAACGCGCGTGTAGGCGAAGGCATATGGCTGGCGCAGGTGAGGGAGAGAGAGCGACGTCTCTTTGTAACCAGGCGCATGGGTATACATCATCATATACACGCAATACATACCTGCCGGGTCGTATTGTGGTGTATATGGTGCTGGGAGTACGTAAAGTGGGCCCGAGCTAGTGCGCGCACGTGCGCGAGCAAAACGGGGGCTCGGAATAAAAGGGCCTCACCGAAATGCTAACGATACCCTTTTTCTCTCCCTCCCTCTCTGTAGCTGCGTCTTCGAGTCAAACGTTTTGTATGGGAAAGAAGGATTATCGCATGCAGATGGAGGAAAAAACACGAGGGGCACCTCTTGATGCGGAGATCTCTTTTTTTTTCGTTTTCTTATGCTCGCTCTTCCCTTTGTGCGTCTTATCTGGGTATGCGTGTATGTACACATACGAGCACGATGCTGTCAAGAGGGACGAGCTGGTTCGCTCTGCTCGACTCTGCTTTGAATTTCACTTTTTTTTTTTTTTCATCAGCAGCATCCGTTGATTTCGGTAGAGATCTGCAACAAAAACAAAAAAAAAATCCTTGTAAATCATCACAATCGCGTAATTATCAAAGGACAAAAAAAGTAAGGGCTCGGAAATAACCGCGACGAGGAAGAAAAAAAGTCGTTGTCGAGTTTAAAGCATACATCCGGAGCCCGTCACTTGATACATATATATATTCTTTCATACACTATTAAGGACATTAAGCCGCAACAGCCTGCGGCCGGGCTATGATTCTTTCCTCCCGTTCTATATACACATACAGGCAGCCACTTCCGTGGTCTGGGCACCGCGGCATTTCTCTTCCGAGGCTCATTTTTTTCCAGCCCCCCCTGTACCAGCAGTGGACGATAAATCAGGGGGGGTAGGTAAGATTCCGAAAACCCGTTCTCTTTGCTAATTTTTCGCGGCCACCCCCGCGGCTCGGCACGATAAAAATTTTGATTAATGGACACGCGACTGATGCGGGCGCGAGCTCTACGCGATGTATAATACAGGGGAGCCGCCGCTGATGGCCTTGGGCGTAAGGTTCGTTGCATCGCGGAAGCGACGACAGCGCGTTTTTTTTTTATCTTAAAAGATCCGAGAAAAAAAACAAAAACGAGGACTGGCCTTGCGTTTTTCACGACCTCGATGCTTATCGAGCTTCATACTTTACTTGGTAATTAAAATCCGCGTTGGAAGGAAAACAATTTTTTTTTTTTCTTTTTCTCCCCAATGCCAAAAATCGGTGCACTGCCAACTGCAACACCCAACGGAGTCTCGAGGTCATGGAGAAATCCAAACGAGGTTACGGCAAAGGTGTACTTTCGACGCGCGCGAGAAAGAAAGAAAAAGCCATCGAAAGTGTCGAGGAGAGCCACTCGAGACTCGAGGCACTCCAAGGGGGGAAAGAAGAGGAGGGAGTCTCGTTAAAAATTCCGAGCGCCGAGTTAATCGCTCCGAAGGTCCCTCTCTCTGCTGTGTATATACACTCCCTACGGCTCTCTAATGATCAATCAACTGTTTGCACTATCGCACCCGGCCCTCCCTCTCTGCAGCGATGCAGCTCCTTATAGCCGCTTTTCTGTAATGGGACATTTTCCAACGACAACGAAAAGGGTGATTCGTGAAAATTTTCTGACCAACGGTACAACCAACTTGTGTACAACACGAGAAGGAACAGGATAGCGATCCTCGTCATTGAGACGCGCAATAAAAAGAAAACCCCCGGTGTAACGAACACTCCATTTGGAGCTCACTCGCACTTACATGTGTAAACAACAACGAGAGCCCCCTTGCCCGACCAAAGAAGAAAAAAAAAAACTCTGTTTATACAGCACAGGGTAGATAACAAGCTTCCACTCGCATGCGGAGAGAAGGACCGACCGGGACACTCTTCTCGGGTGATACGTACGTATGTATGCCTACGAGTAAAAAAAAAAAAAAAAAAAGAGCCACGGCGTGGATAAAATCAGGAACAGGCTTTCTCTCTCACGGGAATTAAGAGTCACGGGGATGTCCGATCGCGCAACCCTTTCTCTTCGTAGAATCGTTTTCTCCCGTGGGATCGACCAAAGGGAGGAAAAAAAGCAACGCAAAGGAGTCGAGGAAAAAAAAGAAAAAGTAGACGAAAGCTACGTCACAGGGAGCGCGCAGGGGAAGGGTTGGCGCTCGACTTTCCTCGGATGAAACTCGAGAGCGGACCCTTTTGCTCCCGCGACAATTTCAATTCTTTCGCGGGAGAGTCGTCGCTCGCTCCTTCCTTTTTCTCCTTCCGACTCTCGTTTTCTCTCGCGAGCGAGCTAAGATTCTTAAAACTTCTCCGAGGAGTCGGGCGAGAGCGCCGGATTTTTCGATTTTAATTACAGTTTTAACATATTTTAATAAAATCCTTCCTCGTCCTTCTCTCGCTCTCGCAGCTCTTTCGCTCTTTTTGAGGGTCTTACACGGTACGACGAGCCCGAGCTCTCAGAGCTCTCGAGTGGAGGATTTTCCAACTGGATTTCCAAGGGAATCGGGAAAATATCCCTATCGGTTTTATTTTCTTCACGCTAAACTAGGGGGCGTAAGTTCATTATCCGCACTGTTTTCCGCGATACCAATACTTGGGCCCGGTGACCTTTTAACGAGACGCCCTCGTTTGGATTCGATTCGATTAAAATTCAGTGGTGCTTGGAGAGCAAAAAAAAAAAAAAAAAAAACTATGTCACTGGTACTGTTTGTTAAAAAAAAATGCCATGATTCACTCGTACAGCCTAAAAATCACATAGTGGTATGTTCCAAAATGCATGTACTTGTACAATTTTTTTTTCCCTACACAACTTTTATAATCAACGATCAACGTCCAGCTCCCCGACTTCAAAAACAAATTTGAGCAGCAGTACAAGGCTCCAGTCTTTGTACACAAGCCAAGCCGAACCTTCGTCCCCCTCGCCGCGCCCACGCTCTCGTCCCCTGCTTCTAACCCTTTCTGTAGCAGCAGTGCCCCACACCCCCGCCTAATCCGAGGCGCGCGCCGCAAACACCTGTTCGACTTGCCCGCGGAAGAGTACTCTCTCTCCCTCCTTTTTTTTTTTTTTTTTTTTCTTCGTTTTCCTCCGCTGCTACCGCTATTCATTAACCACACACTCCTACGAGCGTACGTATAAAGTACCTACAAACGCGTTTTATATACGAAGCTCGTCCTGAAGGATCAGTCTTGCGAGATCTTTCGTGGGAGCCGGCGGTGGCTCCTCAGTGTATGTATGGGCCCCGCAAAGGGAGTGCGCGAGTTTGTTGTCCCTATACATATACAATGACGAACATTGAATCCTCGGGTGGGTGGTGTGTCGACGACGAAAATGAAGTTTATCGGCAAATCGAGGGACTCTATTGGTGCGGCTCATTGATATATTTTATACCATACGTTATTGTTATTACTTTACTAAAATACCAAATTGTTTTGTACGATTGTAGTCTATTGTTTGAAGCACGGCTTGCAAGCTGTTGTCTTTTCATGTGAATGTGCTCATGTTATATAATATAATATATATATGTTTGCATGTTATGTCGCGGTAGTTGCAATACATACCTCTTGATGAAAAATACTTCAAACCGTTGGCATGTCAGTATTTTTCAACGGATAGACAAAAAAAAAAAAAAAAAAAATAGTCGATCCGAGCCTCTTGTTTTTTGGAAGACTATGCATAGAGCTGAGGCGCAAAAAGCATCAGCTCCAAAGAACAATGAACGCTTGTATCACGATAACCCCTGCATGTACATGTATATATGTTGCAACGAAAATTTGGAAAAAAAAAAAAAAATCGGCCCGTCCCGAAAACCCGAACAAGAGCTAAGCATACCAACTAACCCCGACAGTTCATTTCGCAGATCTTCATGCACAAGAACGCGATGCAGATGCACGCGCGTGAACTAAGTGCGGCCGGGGGTCTCGGTGCCGGTCGGCCAGGCGGCGCAGGGGGCGTCGGTGGCGGACTCGGCGGCTTGGGCGGCGGCCTCGGGGTCGGGGTCGGGCCCGGGGGCATGATCACCGGGAACGAGGTCAAGCCCCACCAGTGCCAGCAGTGCCTCAAATCTTTCTCGAGCAATCACCAGCTCGTCCAGCACATAAGGGTCCACACCGGCGAGAAGCCGTACAAGTGCAGCTACTGCGATCGCAGGTTCAAACAGCTCAGCCACGTACAGCAACACACGAGGCTACACACCGGTGAGTATCCTAATATACATCATCATTACCATTGTGTATAATGTTTATTCGCACAACTTTTCTGTGGTGTGTTATCACAACTCTGAGCGTCATGTCACATACATACGTACCTATATGTACAATATCACGCCATAGAAATAGTAGCAAGTAAATTTTTTGAGTTGAATCAATTTTAACATTTTACAACTTGGACTATCGATACCGCAATCGAATTGCAGCTCTTTGCAATCCATACAAAACACATGACAATACTGCGCAGTTAACGTATAGGCCAAACAACAATTGGAACTTTGCTAGATTATTCATTAACCTATACTAGTGGAACTTGGTAATGACGCGTGCTGTACAACAATATTCCAGGAGTGTAAAGTCAAACGAGAAGAATTGAGTCGCATAATGTACCTACATCGATGAATTTTTAATCAACCCGGTTGTTAATCATCGAATCAATAAAAGGACATTCCCGCCTGATATACGATTCATCCACAGCCACGAGCTCCGTAAGACACGGAAATTAGCATACGCGAGCGAAATTCTTGGCCACTCGAAAAACTATGAGCCCGTGCATACATATACGGCCACACGCGCGTGCCTCTCCCTATAAAGTTTTCACTCAGGGACACGTAAGAGAGTCACGAAGAGTAGCGAATAGCGATAAAAGCTCTCTCTCTCTCTCTCGCGTGTCAAGGGAGGAGTGGAAAATACGTGATAAGTGATAGCGCGCCGCACATATATCTCGCGTTGTTTAGCTAGGCCGAGAGATATAAAGCTTCCCCTTTTGCCCCCAACCCCGAACCCACTCTCTTTTCGAGCTTTTTAAGAAGTAGCCTTTTCTGCTTAGCGCTTCTTCTTTTTTTCCCTCCACGAGCCAAGAGTAGTCAGGGGGAGAAGGATTAAAAGCGGAAAGAATTTCATTAAGGGATGAGGAGCGTAGTCACTCGGAAGGTATTAGCCGCTCGCGCGCGCCTTTCTCCCTTTTCCTTTGGGCGTTTTTTTTTCCGCTCTTTCCCGCGTGCATGTGTACCCGCAACCCTTGCATTTCCATACGTACGCACCGTGGCTGCTTTTTATCACATTGACATCAAACCTCTTGCTCCTCGTGAAGTAATGTTTTCATCGACAAACAAATGCCTAAAAAAAAAAAAAAAAAGTAAATAATTGAATAATCAACCGGGGGCCGAAAGAATCCCTCATCCCTTGGATTAAGAAAAGTGCGTTAGCGAAGATTAGCCGCGAGCACCGGACGGGGGGCGAAAAAAAGGAGAGCCTCGAGGCTGTGTACACGAAAAACCGTGGGCTACTTACACCCGCGCACTGACCCTCCGAAATCTCTTTTACGCGTGCAACACACTCGGTGAAAATTCACTTTGGCCGACCTTTATCTCTCTCTCTCTTTCGCTCGCTCGCGTGGGTGAAAAGGGCACGCGCGGGAATCCCGAGTATTTAATCTGTAAGCGAGTTGTACCGGGATCTCTTTTCGGATCGCCAAAGTTTTTTTTTCTCCCCATCCTCACCGCCACACGCTACCGTAAAGAAAAAAAAAAAAAAAAACAAATTTACTTGGCTATACCCCCTTTTTTAAAGTTCCCTCCGTCTTTCGTTCTCTTTCGATTATTTGCTCCGAGGAAGATGTTAATGGCGAGCCGTTTCTCCATCGGCTTCTTTTTTGCTTCCACGTCCGATCTCGCACGCGTCGTCGTCTTTCCTCATCAAACGCACGTTTTAATGCCCTTTTAATACAGCTGAGCCTGCACGTGCGTGAGCCTCTTGCGCTTTCACGGGCCAACGAAGAGAAAGGGTTGCGCGCATTGATTTCGTACGCGGCTGCGTCGCTCGCACAAACGCGCCTGCCCCCCTCCCCGTGTAATAACACCCTTGCATTAATAATCATCGGCCCCTCCAAAGTTGGAGCACAAATTCCTCGATTCTTCCGTCCCTCCTCCTCCACCTCTATATCCCACTTTTTTCTTTTCTGGGAACTATTGTCGGAGGCAGGTTATTATAGGTTGTCGTTGAAAAAGTTAGACCCACGTGGTTGTCGCCGCCGGTAAACAAATGCCCCTTTTCGCGTAATTGACTTTTAATATCACGTTGCTGCTCGTACAGTTAGCTCGGCGATGGACAACAAAAAAAAGAAGTACGTCGGACTCAAAAAGTTGGCCGGAATAATTGACGAGATGGAAAAAGCATTACGGAGTCTCGAGGCTACACATACAATACACCGTATCCGTTCGTTTTCGAGAAACACCTATATACTTGTACCTCGTGCCAACCAATCGATACTTATCGCATTACGCCGCGCGATGGATACACAGAAGAAGAAGAAAAAAGAAAAAAAAACCCGCCTGTCAACGGCTCGAGTATCGCTCGAGCATCACTCGATACCCGCAGCACCCTCGACCCAAATCGGAGCTCCTCTCCGCTGCATCTATCCAATCTAATCGTGACTCGCGAGCCGACACCTGTATCCACACCTTCCACCGAATCAACGTAACCCCAAACTCGATCCGAAAGATGGGGGGGGGGAAAGGAAAAAACTTTGATCGATCATATCCGGTCTCTCGCGCCTGCACGCAACCTCGTCATCCTCCAGGTACACACCGATTCTCACGCGCGCGTCCGATAGGCCAGGAACCGCGAAATCAATTTCGCAGGGGCATATAGGCAGGCGATTCCGGGCGATTAGGGCCGACAATTACAGAGAGCGAGAGCCACCCCCGCCACCTTCTCCTTTGCCACCCCTCCTCCCATGCTTTCTCTCTGATCCATGGGAGTAGCTACACCTACGCGCTACCAGCCCTCGTGCAAGTGTATCCGCCGGGGATATGTAGCTCTGGGGTTAAGTGGACATGCTCTCATCGCCGGCTCCGTGTTCCATATTACACGTAAAATGGCTATATAGACCCGGTCTGTACATGTACCTACTGGGCGATTTCCCTTTTTTCTATACCGTCTCTCCGTAAAATATATAAAGAAAACAATCATTGATCATTTTCAATGACAAATATTTTTTACGTAACACAGTATACGCGCAATTACATCTACGTAGTAATTTAAGGTAAAAATCTGCAGCAGTGCAGCGATAGGCAACCGAGCGCAGGGTATGATTTAATCGACGATTAATGGCAAACCCGGGAAAGGGAGAATTAGTGTTTTTCAGTCGCGCACAGCGAGCCCATGCAGCAGTTTTGGAGCTAGTGTCCGGGCCAAGTGATGTAATTAATTTACACACAGTGCGCTCTATTACACCGAGCTTTGGGGCGCGGATGCACGCAAAGTGTCATTACACACACACACACACACACACACACACACACACACACAATTCGAGCTTTTGAGGAAGATACAATAATTAACGACGAGGCACTGGAGCTTTTGATAAATTATTCACGCAAAGGACAATTAATACCATTGAAAGGTCCCCGATCGACAAGGAGGGAAAGGGTCGAATATTTGCGCACTAAAATCTGCAGGGGTTCTAAATCATTTGTATCACATTAACAAGCAGTTTACAGAGAAAATACCACCAAAATCGTCGCGCTATGTTTACCTATACACACACAGTTCGGCTAATACCAAAATGGGTCTGCAATGAAATTGGAATTTTGCACGAAATGAATGTGTCGTTTGTGGCTCTCACTTGATTCTATAGCTCATCTGTTACGAGATTTAGGGGCGCGGATATCGATGTTGTACAATTTTTTGGGGATGCTTGTTATCGTGATAAACGATCTCGGTAAACGAAGAAATTTTGTACTTGCAACTTCAACACTTTTAACCGGCAAAATAAGCGACACTTCATCCAGCCAAGGGAGAAAGCAAGCTCGCTACCATACCCTCCCATGTGCGCCCGACCGAACGAGGCCTCCATTATATAATGTTTATACCCCGGTGCACACATATATATATATAAAATTTATTAACCCGAATTTAGCTGGCCGGGCTTTCGGTGGCCGATAACGCGCTCCTACACACGCTCGCATGCATAATGCAAGCCGAGCTTTATAGGTATGTATAAAATAATGGCTGGGACGAGTGGCGCGGCATCGATAGCCGGTCAATGTGTGTATAAAGGCTGCTGTTTCACCCTCTCCCGAGCCCACATGCATATACCTACTGCACCGGCCAAACACGCGTATCAGCCCCTCTCCCTCCCTCGGCCCGGATGCACACGCACCCTCTTCTCTTGGTTTCGCTGCAGCTCTCGTTTTCCCGGCCAATCGCGATCGGACCCACCCCTCCACATATATATATATTATACAAAAGGGGAAGAGAGAGAGAGAAAGTGCAGGCCGATCCCTCTCTTCTGCCTATACTCTCGGGGCAAAAAAGCGCGGGAATTTTTTAAACGCGCGGTCGGGGCCCATCGCTCGATAACGGGGAGACTCGTGCGTGCGCACCGCGGGGCTGCGGCATCGGCCGGGATTATCCCCTCGAACGCAAAATTCAATCTCCTGGCCGAAATCTAATGACGGGGACGCGAGCTCTTAATCGGTTTTCCCAGCCCCAGATGCATCCCCTGCATCGTATATACGGATGCGTGCGTGCGTGGAATTGAAAATACAAAATTCAAGCGAGCTGTCGAGGTGCGGAGAGAAAAGTCGAGACTTTGCGGCTCGAGGGGATGTGCGGTTGGTGCACTTTCGTGACATTGCGTAGGGCTGGAGGGTCAATGTTTGATTTTCAGGGGACGAGCAAAAAACATTAAAGATCCCCCGTCCGTTTTTTTTTCGTGTCGGAGACATTATCAGGGGAAAAACGCGAACTTGCCATAAAAATAAATTTACTCGGCTTTTCATGCTAACGACGTCGTCGCTCGGTGGTTCCTCGCACGAAAACGAGTGCAAGCTCGATTATACAAGGGAAAAATCCTTGACCCATCCCCGCACCTCGTGTGCCTCTTCAGTTCGGAGTCACCCCTTTTCGCTTGAAAAAAGCGTCACGTCCTCGCCGCGAAATTGACCGGACAATTTTAAAGCTCACTTAATGCTGAGAAAAAT